ATCTAGCATACAATAAAAAATTAATAGGCATGCAAAACAAACAAACAATAACACAAAACAGGAAATGTGACCCAAGGTCAAGAGAAAAAGTAATCAGCATAAATAGACTGTGATATGACACAGGCGCTGAACTTCGGTGAAAAGGACTTTAAAGCAGCTATTATGTTCATGGACTTAGAGGAAAGGTAGTCATAAGAAATAAACATATGGGTAATTTCATAATAATAATATTGTATTTTGGTGTTTATTACATATATAGAGTAAGAAGTAGGAGAAAAACAATGAGAGGGGAAATAAAGAATTTACATGGCTCTAAGATTCTTACGGGTCCCTGGTGGCACAGTGGTTAAATGCTGTAGCTGCTAATCAAAAAGTCAGCAGGTCAAATTCATATATAATATACAAATACTAGAGCAACTATTAGAAAAAAAAAAAGGGCATAGTTAATAATCCAATAAATTAAAACCAAACCAAACCTGTTGCTGTAGAGTTGATTCCAACTCATAGCGGCCTTATACGACAGAGTAGAACTGTCCCATAGGGTTTCCAAGGAGTGGCTGGTGGATTCGAACTGCCAGTCTTTTGGTTAGCAGTCAAGCTTTCAAACCACTGTACCACCAGGGCTTCAACAATCCCGTAGTGGATGTAAACTAAAATAATGAAAGTTACTTGATCCAAAAGCAAACAAGAAATTGGTAAAAAAAAAAAAAAAAAAAAGGACCAAAGACAGATAGGACCAATTGAAAACATACAGCAAGATGGCAATTCTAAGCCCAAACAAATCAATAATCACATAAAATATAACAGTCTGAACACTCCAATTAAAAGGTAAAGATTGTCAGATTGAAAAAATAAAAAATCAAGACCTAGCAATATAATGCTGCATTTCTTAAATAAAAGGAATGCACTTTAAACATGGAGAAACAAGGGTTAAAATAAAAGGATGGGAAAAAACAAACCATCCAAACACAAGATGGAGTGGCTATTTAATATTGCTATTGCTGCTGGCACCATTGAGTCAGCCCTGACTCCTGGCAACCCCATGCAAAATGGAACAAAATGCTGCCCGTTTCTGTGCCATCCTCATGATTGGTTGCAGGTCAGATGACTGTGATCCAATCATGGGCAGCCATGTAGTGCATTGTCCAGGAATCAAACCCGAGTCTCCGACATTGAAGGCGAGAATGCTGCCACTGAACCACCAATACCCTCAATAGTAATATTAGACAAGGAAATTTCAGGGTAAGAAAAGTCATCATAAAATGAAGAGGAACATTTCATAATAATAAAAGGGTTGAGAAGATATAACAAGCCTAAAAATGTATGCATTTAAAAACAGAGTAGCAAAAGATATAAAATATAAACCTATGGAACTAAAAGGAGAAATATCCATAAAACAAATCCCTAACTACAATAGATTTCCAAACTCTTTTCTTAGTAATTGATCGAATGAATAGGAAAACAAAAACAAAAAAACAGTAAGGACTGAATCATATTGCCAAATAATTTGATCAAATTGACATTTATGGAATATACCACACAAAAATAGAAATTTGCACATATTTTAAAGTACAAAGGAACCTTCACTAAGTTAGAATAAATGTTGGGACATATAAGACAAGTCTTCACATTTAAAGAGTAAGTTCATACAAAGCACATTCTCTGATCACACTATAATTAAATTAAAAATTACAAACAAAACATATCTGGAAAATCCCCATGTATTTAGAAATTAAACAATACATTCTAAATGATCTCTGTGATAAAACAGAAATCCTTAAGGAAAGTAGAAAATATTTTAACTCTATAGTGAATTAAAACATAAGGCATCAAAATTTATAAGATTCAACAGAAGTAGTAGTTAGAGGGAAATTCATAACTGTAAATGCTCACATTAGAAAAGAAGAAAGGTCTGAAATCATTGACATAAATTCATCAATTCATCTTAAGTATCAAAATAAAAGTAGGAGATAAAATAGCAAAAACCAAACAATTAGAAAAAAATTAAGAATGCCAATTGTTTGTACTTTGAAATGATTAATAAAATTGATAAATCCCTAAGCCTGATTTAAAAAGGAAAGGGGAAAGGGAAGAGAGTGAGAACATGATTTCCAAGTGTTTAAGAATAAAAGTGATGATGTTCCTATAGATCTTGTAGACATTCAATGATAATAAGGGAAAATTATCAACAATCATAGGCCAATAAATTCAACAACAGGGATGCAATAGACAAATTCACTGGTGGGCAAAAGAAATTTACAGCAAACAACACAAGAAGAAATTAAAATTCTGAATAGGCCTAGATACATATTTTTTTTTTAACTCACAAAGAAAACTCTAGGCACAGATAACATTTCTGAATTACAGAAAATATTTAAGGAAGAAATAATACTAGTCCTATGAAATCTTTTTTTTAAGGGATCAGGGTGGGACAAGCAGTTTGCGATCTGCTGCTAAACCTAAAGGTTGGTGGTTCAAACCCATCCAGCCACTCACCGGAAGGAAAGGCCTGGCGATCTATGTGCTCTATAAAGACCACAGCCAAGAAAACCTTTGGAGCAGTTCTACTCTGTCAAACATCGGGCTGCCATGAGCCAGGGGCCATCTTGACAGCAGCTAACAACAACAACAAATGAAGTCTTTTACAGAATATGGAAGAGGAAAGAACACTTCTCAACTTACTTTATAAAGCCAGCATAACTCTGAAACCAAACTCTGACAAACAGAAGAAAACTACAGATCAATATTGCTCATGAACATAAATGCAAAGTTTTTTACCAGGTGTTAGCAAATCAGATCCAGTAAAATCTGTAAAAAGGATAATGTATCATGATCAAGTGGGATTTACCCCAGAAATGAAAGGCTGATTTACCTTTGAACGCCATTCAATAGAAAGCACCATATTAACACAAATAAGTAGAAAACATAATTACCTGAATATACTTAGAAAAAGCATTTGAAAATTATTAAAATTAAGTGAATTTAGTAAGGTCACAAATGTTGTTGTTTTTAGGTGCCTTGAGTTTGTTCCAACTCATACAGACCCTATGTACAACAGAATGAAACATTGCCCAGTTACAAACAAATGTGTAAAATTAAATACACACACACACACACACATATAATATAAAACAATCAGAAAAGGAAATTTAAAAAATTCGCTTACAATAGAGTCAAAAATATCAAATACTCAGAAAAAAATTAAAACAAATATTTTTCTGGAGAGAAAGAATCAAAATTAAAATGTTGACTCTTTCCAATTAAATGTACAGATTCAACTCATTTTTAATCAAAATTCCAACTCTTTTCAGTAGAGATTGACAAGGTAGTTTGAAAAGTGCATGGAAAAAGAGAGGATCTAGAATAGTAAAAACAAATTTGCAGAAGAAAACGGTGGAATATTTACTCTATCGGACTTCAAGGCTTACTATAACTACAGAAATCAAGACAGTGTGGTTTGGCATAAGGATAGACATACAGACAAATCAAATAAGATATGGAATCCAGGAATGGCTTCGCACATATATGGTTAATTGAAGAAAGTAAAGTCTTTTCAATAAGTGGTGACTGCATACACAAATGAAAATAAATCAACCACAACCCTCAACCCTCCAACCACATATTACTTTGAGATAAATTATAGACCTAAGCATAAAAGCTAAAATTATAAAGCTTCTAGAAGAGCATATAAGAAAATATGTTTATTGGGAATTAGACAATAATTTCTTACACAGTACTAAACATAAAAGAAAAATCTGATAAATTGTACTTTATTAAAATATAAATCTGCTGCTCATCAATAGACATTATTAAGAAAATAAATAGGGAAGACTTAGATTGGGAGAAAATATTTGCAATAATGTATATGACAAAGAACTTGTATCCAGAATAAATAACTCTTATTAATCAATAACAAGAGACAAACAACTCAATTTTTACAAGCTGAAAGAATTGGACAACTAACAAAAGAAAATATGCAAATGACCAACACGCATATGTAAAGTTACATAACAGTATTAGTCATCAAAGGAAATGCAAACTAAAATCACAATAAAGTACCATTTTACACTTGCTAGAATGGCTAAAATTACAAAACTGCCAACATCTTTGATGTTGGTGATGATGTAGAAAAACTGGAAGTTGTTTGCTTTGCTGCTGGGAGGATAAAGTGATACAACAGTTTGGAAAATTGTTTAGCAGTTTCTTATAAATTCAAATTATATCAACTCTATAACCAGAAATTCTACTTCTAGGTATTTCTCCAAGTGAAATAAAAACATATGTCCTCAAAACGACTTACACAAGAATGTTCACTCTCTCAATAAAAAGTTGGATAAATAAAATATGGTATAATCACACAACTGAACACAACTCAGCAATAAAAAAAATGAGTTACATAATACATACATGGATGGATTGCAAAAAGTGAAAGAAACCAGACACAAAATACGATAATACTGTGTGATTCCATTTATATAAATTTCAGGAACAGGCAAACATAACCCATGGTGGTGGTAGGAAAGAATTTTATGCAATAATGATGATAAATTTAATAAGGATTTCTTCATTGGAATAGTAAATTTGGATTACAAAGTTTCTTTGACTTGTTTCTAGTTAATTTTTTAACTATTTGGGGCTAAGAAGAAGTGTATAGATTGGAAACATAATGCACAATCTTCAGGAGCTCTCATTTTCTATTATATTCCAATGGTGTCAAAATCACTACTGGGGCTATTGATTAAAAATAATTTTCAAATTAACTTTCAGTATTTAAATGCTTAGTGATTATAATTTTAAGAAGTTTATGGGACTCTTAAGAACATGAGAAATTGTACTGAGCATTGTTGTAAGAAACCCTAGTCCCTTAACCCATTTGCCTGTTCGCTTTCATTAATATGTACCTATCAGTCATAACTGTTAGGATGTAGACTCAAAAAACTATTATGCCTCTTCATCAGATGACTAACTCTAAGGCATAGACCACCTAGATTGGTACTCACCAATTATTATTGGCTGTGGCTCGCTTTTTACTCCAACCCCTGCACTGGTACTAGCTGCAACTTCTACTCGATATTGAATACCCGGGAATAATCCACCAATTATAACAGATCGAATGGCTGCATCCACGGTTTTGTTGATATGGAATCGAGTTTCATTACCCAAACACCAGATCTACAGAAATAGAAAGTTAACAACAAAAGAACATGAAATTATCTTTTCTGGTAGTTATACTACTATAATTGATTTCTTTTTTTAATGGTGTCCAGTCTATTTTCTAGGGTTGTATAACCCAAAAAAACCAAACACATTGCTTTCAAGTGATTTTGGTTATAAGTGTTTGCAAATGGCTTTTCTAAAGCTCACTTTCTGAAGTTTATTTTCGTGTGTGTGTGTATTAAAGTATTGACAACAAGGGATTCTAAACCTACACCATGTTCATTTAAATCTTACTGTCAGCACTGAATACTCATAGTGAGTTATTTAGAAAGCAAAATGATTCCCTTAACACTTCTGGAAAGTGGTCTTTGGTTGCAAATGGCATTTTGGTTATGGGTTAAAACACGTAATTTCCTCTGCTTAATTTACTTATCAAGATTTATTATGCATATAATCTATAAAAATATGGTGATTACAAGTTATAATATGTAAGGTATATAGGTGTACATCTAAGTAATTTATATTTCATTTAAGAAAATATTAACTTACACAGAAGCAGTTAACAAGATTAATTGACCTAAATTATAGGTATTGACTGGGATGAAATTAAAACCAGTATTTACATTGGCAGTAATAAATCTTAATATTGATCAAAACATATATACACACACATGCATGCACGAGGACGAAGTGGTGAAAAGTCTTTAAATGTTGGGAAAGAAAGGCTTTTGCTTTATGCAGGAATCAAATTTTATGGTATATTTTCTTCTGAGATATGGAAATCTGTTACCATAAAATGTGTTCTAAAAGAATTCCACTGTGTACATATATCTGTGTTCACATTATGTATTATTTCATGTAGGAACACACCTGGTTTGTTTCTGAAACAGGTAAACGCTTGAAACTTCTTCTGTAAAATAATTTCTCTGAATAGTATGTTTTTGTTATTTACAATATGATACCTGTGTTCCTAATGGAAGAATATTGAGATCTCACCAAAATATACACTTTGCTCCCAACTATGATGGTCTCTAATGAGTGAGAAACTTTACAACTTAGGTAAAAATACATCAGTATTTATCTATAGGATGTTTAGTTACAGACTGTACAAAAATCAATTCCTAACCTCATTAAAACACATCACACACACACACACACAACCATAGTGGATAATGCTTTTCTTCTAAAACAGTGTGTCCTAACACTTGTAAAACTTTAGGATCTACATAATTACGCTATTTAAAAAAAAATTCTTATATTTCTTATGTTTTTTATAATGTGATTTTTTAAAAATAAGTGCTTATGCTCATGATGTCCATTTGCTTCAGCAAGCTGATCTTTATTTCAAGAAAATTCTATTTCAAAATTGATCATTTTTTTTCTTAGAAATAACAATATATAATCTACAATTACATACTTTGATTGAGATTACTCAGCTTTATTTCATGTACCAATTATGAACTCTTGGGTAAGGAGGAGTGTCTAGTTGTCTGTTCTATTAGATCTATCTGGTATGTTACTGTTGGAATTCTGTAAATATTTATTAGTAGCAGAAATCATAGTTTTGAATTTTTACAAGATTTAATGAAGTGTTTTACACTCATATATCGTCTAATCACATCACAATTAAAATTTCACAAAGTTAGACATATTTTTCATTGTACATAAATATCAAATGATGGCAACGATACAATAGATATATAGGTATATCTTGTCATTTTATTGTGCTTTGCTTTATTGCACTTCACAATTACTGTGTTTTTTACAACTTGAAGGTTTGTGGCAACCCTGTGTAGGGCAAATTTATCAGCGATGTTTTTCCAACAACATGTGCTCACTTCATGTCTCAGTGTCACATTTTGGTAATTCTCACAATATTCCAAACTTTTTCATTATATCTGTTATGGTGATCTGTGATCAGTGATCTTTGATGTTACTATTGTAATTGTTTTGGGTCGCCACAAACCATGCTCATATAAGACGGTGAACTTAATTGATAAATGTTGTGTGTGCCCTGACTGCTCCATCGACTGGCTATTCCCCCATCTCTCTCCCTCTCCTCAGGCCTCCCTATTCCCTTAGACATGACTATATTGAAATTAGGCCAATTAGTATCTCTAACAATGGTCTCTAAGTGTTCAAGTGAAAGGAAGAGTCACACGTCTCTCACTTGAAATCAAAAGCTAGAAATGATACAGTGAGGAAGGCATGTCAAAAGCTGAGACAGGCTGAAAACTAGTCCTCTTGTACCAGTTAGCCAAGTCATGAATGCAAAGGAAAAGTTCTTGAAGGAAATTAAAAGTTACTACTCTAGTGAACACAAAAATGATAAGAAATCAAAACAGCTTATTTCTGATATGGAGAAAGTTTTAGTGGTCTGGATAGAAGATCACAACCAGCCACAATGTTCTTAAGCCAGAACGTAATCTAGAGCATAGCCCTAACTCTCTTCAATTCTATGAAGGCGAGAGGTGAAGAAGCTGCAGAATAAAAGTTTGAAGCTATAGCAGAGATTAGTTCATGAGTTTAAGGAAAGAAGACATCTCCACAACATAAAAGTGCAAGGTGAAGCAGCACATGCTGATGCAGAAGCTGCAGCAAATTATCCAGAAGATCTAGCTAAGATAATTGATGAAGGTGGCTACACTAAACAACAGATTTTCACTGTAGATGAAACAGCCTTATATTGGGAGAAGATGCCATCCAGAACTTTTATAGCTAGAAAGGAAAAGCCAATGCCTGGCTTCAAAGCTTCAAAGGACAGGCTGACTCTCTTGTTAGGGGCTAATGCAGCTGCTGACTTTAAGTTGAAGCCAATGCTCATTTACCATTCCGAAAATCCTAGGGCCCTTAAGAATTATGCTAAATCTACTCTGCCTGTGCTCTATAAATGGAACAACAAAGCCTTGATGACAGCACATTTGTTTACTACATGGTTTACTGAATATTTTAAGCCCACTGTTGAGACCTACTGCTCAGAAAAAAAGATTCCTTTCAAAATATTACTGCTCATTGACAATGCACCTGGTCACCCAAGAGCTCTGATGAGATATACAAGGAGATTAACGTTTTCATGTCTGCTAACACAACAACCACTCTGCAATGGGGCAAAGAATAATTTTGAATTTCAAGTCTTATTATTTAACAAATACATTTCATAAGGCTATAGCTGCCATAGACAGTGATTCCTCTGATGGATCTGGGCAAAGGAAATTGAAAACCTTCTGGAAAGAATTCACCATTCTAGACGCCATTAACAACACTTCTGATTCATGGGAGATGGTCAAAATATCAACACTAACAGGAGTTTGGAAGAAGCTGATTCCAACCTTCACGGATGACTTTGAGGGGTTCAAGATTTCAGTGGAGGAAGTAACTGCAGATGTGGTAGAAATAGCAAGAGAACTAGAATTAGAAGTGGAGCCTGAAGATGTGACTGCACTGCTACAAACTCATGATAAAACTAACGGATGAGGAGTTGCTTCTTACGGATGAGCAAAGAAAGTGGTTTCTTGAGATGGAATCTAATCCTGGTGAAGACATTGTGAACATTGTTTAAATGACAACAAAGGATTCAGAACATTACATAAACTTAGTTGATAAAGCAATGGCAGGGTTTGAGAAGGTTGACCCCAATTTTGAAAGAAGTTCTACTGTGGGTAAAATGCTCTCAAACAGCATCATATGCTACAGAGAAATCTTTAGTGAAAGGAAGAGTCAATCAGAGTGGCAAATATCATTGTTGTTTTATTTTGAGAAATTGCCACAGTCACCGCAACCTTCAGCAACCAACAACATCAAGGCTGATCAGTCAGCAGCCGTCAACATTAAGGCAAGCTTCTCCACCAGCAAAAAGATTACGACTCACTGAAGGCTCAGATGATGGTTAGCATATTTTAGCAATACAGTATTTTTGTAATTAAGGTATGTACGTTTCTTGTAGAGATAATGCTATTACACACTTAGTAGACTACATTATAGTTTAAACATAACTTTTATATGCACTGGAAAACCAAAAAATTCATGTGACTCGTTTTATTATGATATTCCTTTCATTGTAGTGGTCTGAACCGAACTTGCAGTATCTCCAAAGTATGCCTGTATAATGTTTCTAAATAGTGATATATTTACCACTTGAAATATGAGACACTCAACTGTTTTTATGTCAGTTTTGTCAAACTTTGTTTTTTTTAACATTCTATTTTTTTTTAATGAAATTTTATACAGAACCTCAATAAATAGATAAACAAAAAAACTTATGGGTGGGAACTGGTGATGCCCATCCTCCTACCCCTGCCTACTGCTGTCCTACCCCTCCTCACTGCGTCCTCTAAACCCTGAAGCACTTTTTTCTGAGACCACAGTTTTAAAAACAACTGTCCTAAAGCCTCTTACACAGAACTCCAATAACAAAGGTAACAGCAGTTCTTGGGATGAGGGCTTCACTTCTCACCTATACCTCATCTCTCTAAATTCCCCAGGTTCTAGAATCACACTATAAAGAAAACCATTCTACTGTTGTGATTTAATTTGTGAGTTTGTGTTACATAGATGCGACCTTGGAGTTAGGCCCTAATCCTTTATGCATTTGTTTTATTACATGTCACACAAGGACATTATCATAGTCAAGTAAATAATCACTTCACATTTAAACTCCATAAGAGGGCCATCAGAGACAAGCCTCATCCATAGGACCCTGGGACACCTCTGGGAATCTTTATCTGTGAGCCTTCCTTTTTTACCCAGGCCCTACCTTGTATTCTTGGATAATTCCATTCTGATGATCCAGAGGAGGAGGATCCCAGGAAACACTAATACTTGTGCTATTGTGGCTTCCAACTGTCAGCACAGTGACAGACTGTGGAGGGGCACTTGGGGCTGCAGAGGGAGCAATTAGAAGAAACACAAATGGTAAGTTTTGGGGTGCATTAAAGCTGCTTACAGAATATGAATATAAAGATAGGATACATAAGCTTCTGGCTTCCAGTAGTTCTTAATTTGCATATAGCATACAACAGTGACACTTTTGAAAAAAGAGTATTTAAATATAATGGAGAGATTTAAAGCAAATGCAACAGCTGTGGTAATATGCATTCAATAGTAAATTTAATAGCCAATAGTAAATTCTAATGAGTGTTTTCTGGGCTAAGTGCCTTGACTTAATTCTCACGATAACCTCAGAAGGTAGAAACAATGCTTATCTCAGCTTTACAGATGAAGACCAACAGATGGTTACTTTAACAGCCTTCACCAAGTCAAACAGTAAGTCAGGATTTGAACTCAGGTCTGTCTGATTCCAGAACTTTGGTTCCTTCAACTCCGATAGGTTGTCTTTCTAAAAAATACACTGCTATCAAAAACATTTTGAGAGGATATTTTCCAAAATTTTACCAGTAGTTATCTCTGAGTGGTGGCATTATTAACAGCTTTTTTTTTTTTTTTGTATTGTTTCATGTTTTATTTAATAAATAAAAATAAAAACAGCTTTAATTTTCACAAACACAGGAGGAAAATTCTTTCATTTTCATATTGGGCAAAATGATTGATGGTGATAAACTGACCTCTAATTTAAGATTTAAAACTTATTTTATATGGATGGGCAAAGAAATCTGATGGTATAAATGAAAACAGTTAATGCTGTGTCAAATGGCAAATTAGCAGACTTTAATTTCCTACAATAATTCTTTCCCTTTATGGTTTCTCCTATAACTAATTACAACCAGAAGGAGAAAAGGTGAGTGAGAAACTGTTTCTGGTTTTAGATTGTGCATTTGAGAGCTGAGAAATAGTAATTTTTCAGGAAAAAAATTCTTTTTAGTGAATCTCTGGATTTAAAACAAATGTAGGAAAAGCAAACTCAGAAAACTATTTAAAATCCTCTTTGACAGCTAAAATATCAAAGAATTTTGCGGTATCAAAGGATTTTCATAGGAAAGGCTCAATGCTTTAAAACTATACACAGTTTAGTCCTTTAAAAATATGTTAAATGGAATCCTAAGAAATATTTTAAGAGCCTGCCAGTAAGGATTCCCATGTTTGGTGAATCTGTCATAATGACATATTTCATTGAGATCTGGCCATATTTGCATTGAGATGGGACACACACAGACACATGTTAACACAATACTGCTCTTTACTATTCCTCTATGTGATAATATTGCTCCAAATATGGCACAATGACATAAATTCAACCACTTGTCTACCAGCTCTGTAGTTATTAAGTAGACCACTTTGAAAAAATACCACTTCTCAAAACTGGTTTCTCATTTGCCTGGCTGCTGGCTTGGAGAGAGCACCATGCCTGCTTCCTGACAGGTCAATTATTCCGCACTCAGCTTCTTTCTACAGATGTGAAGGAACCCAGAGCTCCAGCTGAGTTCCATTTGTTACCTTCACAAGGCCACAGAAATAGGAGATGAATGCATATTGAATGGTGACAAACGTCTGATCCAGAGGAAGAGTCTAGCTACACTGAAGTTGATTTTTGGAAGTGTGCTTCAGATGTAGCTTTCCATACTAAATGTATCCACCCCACTTACTAGCACTACAATTTTGCAGCGTAAAGTAAAATTAAATTGTGAATAAATAACTTATTAATTTTTGGTAACTTTCTCCTATTGTTTACATACCCTAAAAATAGACTAATGATGCCTTTGAAAATATTAACTTCTGCCCATGCCAGTATTTTACACTGTAAACCAAGTGAAGACAATATTTTCTAAGAAACATATACTTTAAAAGCTCTTGGTCAAACAGGAACATGTACATGTCAGCATGAGAAATCTACACACTTTTTTTAATACTGCTTTTAGATCATGTTATATACAATATGTTTAGAGAAAAGTCTTTTTATAAGAGTTATGCACATAAAATATGGACAAAAGCAGAAAAGCAGGGGAATTTATATATGACATCTGACTTTGGTTACTCTGATGGTGCCATGTATTATAAGCCTCTCCTTTAGTGAAGGAGACACTGGGAAATGGACTGGTTGAAGCCTACATTAATTTCACGTCCATTATATTAAAGTATCATAGGCCAGAAAAGTTCCACAGGAGAGGGGGGAAAAAAACTTCACTAAGAAGGAAAACACTGCAAATATGCAAGTGGGCTTCTGGGTTAGACTTTATGGGTCAGACCAGTAGAAACCACAGAGAAATTCTCTGTAGGCCTATAAAAGAAAATGTCATACTTTATAACACCAAAGAAAGAGAAGTCACAATGAATAGCCTGTGTTCTTGTGTTTCCTACAGCCAGTCATCTAATGAAGCTAAATGATCTAAAACTCACATAAAAAATTTTTTAAAAATCCAGTCTACAGACAAACATAAGATTTGGGACAAATATTTAGTTGAGAAAAATTCCAAGTATTTGAATGTCTTTATTTTATTATTATTTTTTTGAGCCGTCACAGTATTCTATGGATTTCTCAGAATAAAATGACAAAATGACACTTCCAAAGTTCATTCTTAGATTCTCTTTCTACTCGTCTAAGGAAGATGATAAACCAGTATTGCCACAGAAGTTGATCTGATTATGGTATAGTTTGGTTTATGTTAGAAATCTGAATACTGACCCTCTTCAGTGGTACGGACTATTTTAGATTCACTATCCATTCCTTGGAACTCATTAAAATATGGTCGAACTTTAATTTCGTAAGTCACTCCCTTTTTCAGATTGACTAAAACAGCATTTCTTTCGGTTGGGACTTTGGCATCTAAATTCTGCCATGTCGATGTGGCCTGGAGGCCCGAAGTCTGACGATACATAATCCGGTAGCCTTGAATAAACTGGGGCTGGCGATCGACCTGAAAGACACCAAAGAACATTTGAAACCGAATGGAAATATTTCAGACGTAACATTGGATCCATCCTCTTTTCTTTTGTCCCTATTTCAGTCCTCATCAACTATCAACCAAGTGGCCCCCTGGCTTTCTAACTCATCTCCCTGCTCCTGATATCCAATTCTAACTCTGAGTTCATATTGCCCCGAAGCTATTTCCAAAACAGAGTGGAACATCTCTCTTTTTCCTGTTTAAAATATCCCACAGTATCCAAGATGCCTACATAACTGATGCAAATTCCTAGGTCTAGTCTTGACAATTCCCTAACTTTATTTCTTATCTTTACTATCTGTTCGTCAGTTTGTCATACGGTGGTGGCTCACCCATTGTTGTGATACTGGAAGCTACCCCACCAGTATTTCAAACACAAGCTGAGTCACCCATGCTGGACAGGTTTCATTGGTGCTCTCAGACTAAGACAGACTAGGAAGTCCTGGTAATCTAATTCTTAAAATCAGCCAATGAAAACCTTATGTATCACAACAGAAAATTGTCTGATTTGCTTGCTTTGGACACATCACCAAGAGGAATCCATCACTAGAGGAGGACAGTGAGACGCACTGGCACAATAGATACAATGATGAATTCAAATACACCAGCAATTGTGAGGATGATGCAGCAATTGTGAGGATGATGCACTTCATTCTGCTGTACATAAGGTCGCCATGAATCGGACTCAACTACAGCAATCCGTTTGTCCGTCTGTCTAACTATTTCAGATCTGCTTTCTTTTTTCTTGTACTCAACAATTTCTGTTTTTGTGGCATTATATGCAATGTGCATTTCGCCAAAAATTTCCATTCTTATTCCTTGTCTAATCCCTAATAACTTTACTCCCTCGAGATAAATTTTTTGAGTTTCTACTAATAGGAATAGGTGTCAGGAATTTTGATAAATTCTGGGGATAAAATAAGGAATTAAAATAGAGTCAGTGTCTGCTCTCATGGTGCTTAGAATACAGGCAGAAGGTGATGCTTATCCAATAATCCTCCAAACTGTGTTCAATCATGACAAATAAACGAATATTAAGATTAATGTACAAGGAGCAAGTGACTGAATGAGGAAGGGCAGACAAGGTTTCCCTGAAGCAATGACCAGAACAGAGATGTGCAAGAAGAGTAGGATTTATCCAGGAGGGAGAAGAATAGGGACAGTATGTTTGAAATCCCTGTGGCTGGAGAAGCGTATAAGAGAGATTAAAAGTCATGGAGCTACAGCATATGTTTTAAATGCACATGAAATGTTTACACCCATTAACAAATACTAAATGAAAGACTATTACTAATTTGCCAGCCTCTGGCTCCTTCAATAATCCCACGATTGACACAGTTTGACAACTTCATTGATCTCTCCATTTATTTAAGGTACAGATGATAAGTAACTTGATTTAACAAAGATCTGAGATTTTGAGTCTAAAAGCTGGTATCAAATACATCTGATGGGCAAATGTCATGTTACCTATATTTTCACAACAATTAAAAAAAAAAACAGAACTTCTGAAAAGTATTTTTGTTCACTTTTATAAAAGTTATATAAAGATGAAATACATATAAATGTAAGATAAAAATGAACACTCTTTGTTGGCATTGTACTGTCATTAAGCAGTCTTTGTTTGAGTTGTACTGTTGTTTCATCTTCAGAAGGCCAAGAGTTTTTAGATTTTAAACAACGTTTAGTGCCCTGCCATGCTCCTAGAAATGACTGATTTAAACAGAAATTATTATAGCACCTTTTCCAATTTATATGCTGTATCATAGCTTAACAGTTATATTCTAAGGGGTCTTGACATAGTTAACTGTCAAATAAAGTGTCAAGATTAATGGAGAAGAGATGGAACACCCTCATTTTGGGAAGACTGAGGAGAAACAGGAATTAGGGAATGTGATGATGGAGATGGCTATTTATCTTCAGCTTTTAAAAGATTCCTTTATCCAGTTGTCAGCATATTATACAAAAGAAGTATTCTTTCTAAATCAACTTCTAACATTTCTTCTTTAATTGTATCATTGTTATA